GAGCGCCGAGGGCCCCCGGGGAGCGGCCCCGGGTTAGATGCGCCCCGCCTCCCTCGGTGGTGGGGGGGGGTTACCGAGATATTTCTATTATTTAATCTCTGTTTAGCGCCCTCCCCCTCCTCCGTGCTTAGCCTGGATTAAGCACAAACCTAGAACTTTCTTTTTGATAAGGTACGGTCGTGTTCCCCCTTTTCGTCCCTGGGGGAAGAGGGGACCCGAGAGAACGGTGAAGACTGGGGTTTTCCAGGTAGCGTCTGCTGGAGCCCCTGCGAGGCGTGATTTGTGATCTCTTTGCATTTCTACTCTGGAAATCCGTATTAGAGCTTGTTTCATGCTTTTGATGAGCCTAAATAGGGAATGGAAATGGCAGTCTTTGTTCTGTGCCCAGACTAGCCTTCTCCTTCCCCATCACCACTGTCCAATCGCCTGGCGGCTCTGATTTCTCCCTATCTCTCCAGTGCAGCTGCTGCACCCGCATTTGGTGGCTGTATCAAGTAGACTCAGCTGCCTCACGACACTGTAGTTAGCTTAAAAATTGGAACAAGTTAAGCAATTTCTGCCACTTACTGCTTAATGTGCATGGAGTGGAGAGCTGGGATGTGCTCAGCACAAGAAGGATGAACTCGGATTCGATTTACAGATGAGCAGAGTGCTTAGCTCTCTAGTTATTACCATTCTGTTTCTAAATGTTTTTTTTTAAACAGTCTTTAAAGTATGTAATGTGGCTGTAATCGTTGCAGTGCTAGAGACTTTATTAAGACTTGCTGTCTCCCATTGTACAAGTAACTGAGATATGTCAATGTCATGAGTGACTTGGCATCGCTCATGGGCATCTTGATCTCCATAAATCAGTTTTATAGTCTGATTTGCCACAATTTTTTTTATTAATAAAACCCTTTAGCCAGCTGATGCTCAACAGCTCTGTGATAATGCCTTGCGGTGAAATGAAACCTAAGGAATTTGCTAATTCCTGCTCAAAGAACAGCGTTCTCATCCCATTTAGCAAAGCTTCATTCACTGAGTGCTGTCGCAAGGATTTATGAGTTTTTCATCAATTTAAAAATTGCTGATAGTAGAGCGCAGCTTTGTGAGACTTAGGATTGATCATTGGAAGAGCTCCAGATGCTTCTGCCTTGCTTTGGTTATTTGAAAATTCCTGTCCTTTGGGAGCATTCACTAGGCAGCCCAAACTTAGGGCGATCTAAGCAGGAGGCTCGTGAGAGAGAATCTGAAATAAAGCCACCGTTTTAGGAGCCTCTTTTTGCACAGATGACCAGCTGTTCCCCAACTGACCTGGATTGCTCAGAATTTCTCTACTGCTGTGGCACCCTTTGAGTATGTCATGTTGAAGAGCCAGCTGAAAAATCTCACTTTGGAATTTAAGTCTGGGTCAAAGATTGTAATGCGTGTGTGCAGCGTGACTTCATCAAAATGATTTTTCAGACAGGCTTTCAAAACGACTGGTCACGGAACAGCAGCAGTATCCCTATCCCTATGCCAGCCTTTTCTCAAGAATGCAAGTTCATGCTGCATTCCGGAGGAACTCCTGCAGGAGTTCTGCACTGAAACTAAGACATCTTGTTTAAAAACAGTATTTTAAAGTAGTCCAAAATACTTGTGTGGTTCTAGTGCTGCTTAGCTTTTCTGAAAGAAATCAGCATTGTTTAGGAGCAAGATGAAGGGCAACGCAGTGACATAATCCTAATTCTTGAACAATGGGCTGTGTGATCAAAAGGGAGAAAAGTGGCTACCTTTTAGGGTTCTGTAGCACAGCACCCCGAATAGAAATCGAAAACTGGGGTTTCTTACCCTTTGGAATAGGATCCATGTCTCCTCACTTTTATGACTCGGGGTCTACATGGCCTTCCCTTTCCATAGGAACAAGAAAATCCCTTTCCCTCACTTTGATTTATGCCCTTCATCTGTTGCGGGGGCAGGGGGGATGCTGATGCTTTGAAAGGCGCAATTTTCTCTGCTTATGTGCATTGGGAGGATGGGAGACATCTACCGATGTAAGTGTTAGCCAGGCATGTTTTTTTCAAGTTCATGTGTTAATCTTAGCAAGCTCTCTTCATTTCATGGTGGAACTCTCCTTGAAAAGAGCAGGCCTCTTCACCTCTGAGCTTCCAGTGCTACAAATAAATGTGTAAGCCCCATCTCCGCTCCACTAATGGATCTCTACATTGCTAGCATCTAATTGGTCCTCATGTTAAATGCAGCCCTTTACCTCCCCAGACACGTAGAGTGGTGAGGAGGGATGGAGATGGATGGTGAGGGCTAAGTTCAGAGCAATAGGTAACTCGAGGTATTCGAGTAAACCCATGAAGGAAGGAAGCTCTGAGCAATTGGAGTTAGATCAAAACATTGCACAGTAGAGAGCGGCTTGAGAAGTTGAAGGAATCCTCAGAAGAATACCCTGCTGACTCTGCTGATTCTTGTGCCAGAGTTATTTAATCTGTATGTATTCCTAGGAAGAACACGGATGGTGGAAACATAGGCTGTATGGGAAAGTCAGATGGATGGGCAGTGGCCTCGCTGGAGTAACTTGCCAAGGAACCAAACAGTGGGATTAGAGATGGGCTGAGGTCACAGGGGTGATGAGAAACTGTATATAACCCAAAGCGATAGAATGTCCTGAGGCTTTCTCAGCATGGGGTTAAGGCTGTCCTGAAATGGAGGAGAAATTTCTGTGTTTCCAAGTGTATGTCCTAGCCCCCAAAGGAGCTGTAACTACCACCTTAAACTTGTGCCCAGATGTTGCAAACTGAGTGATATGCTAATAGCATTTTACTGTTGCATTTTTTAAATGTATATCCTGCTAAGAAATGCCAACGTTATTAGACGCTCATGCTAATCTACCTGTCACTGCCGTGACTCTACCTCCTCCCACTTCTCTCGCAAGAGTCTCTACTGCCTGTACCATTTCTCATAGCTCACCTCCAGGCTTTTTCCTCCCCACCCCATGCTTGAGCAGTATTTCTTTTCTTCCCCATGCCCCTTCTCCCTGTGCCAGTGGCAGTCCTCGCCCTTCCCAGCAAAGCTCCAAAGCAGAGCTGCCTGCATATGAATCCCAGCATATACAGGCTGGAGAGTGGGGGGTGTATTCCAGAAGGAAGTGGGAGGGAAATGATGGGGTTAGACTTGCCAAATTCTGCCACTTCCACTGTTGGCCAAATTTATCCAGGAACGGGTCCCTGATTCGTCTCCTGTGAAATCAAATCAGCTAGGGAGCAGTGCCATGGGAGAGATGGAGCTCTGCTTTCTTCTAGATGCCCCTTCTTCCCCGCCCCCCCCCACCTCTTATTAAATTTTGGGGGGTATGGGATCAGTATTATCATAATATTGAGATAATACTTCTGATATCAGAATTGTGAATGAATAGAATGTGTCTCTGCTTACAGAGCACAGGTGTGCTGCAGGACAATGTGTAATATGTCCTTTGTTAAGGAAAAGCTCGGGCTTAGATCAGGAGTAGCACTACAGCTGCTGAGCCTCCTCCTTGTGAAGCAGCAGTGTTACCAACCCCCTTTACCTACCCCTTAGGATTTCTTCTGAGACAATGCAATCACTGCCCCACATGAAGTCCTGGAAACCACTGCCACACATGCTGCCAGACTGCTGACATTCCCCGTGGCAAGAAGGTAACCTTCTGCTGCACCTCTGACACGGCTTTAAAAAATCAGCACTGAAATGAGGCATGCTTAATCCCTCAAGGTATATGTACGCTTCTTCATATCAGTAAGTCGTCTGACAAACTGCTACCACTCATCGGTTCATTCAGTACTGCTTCGTGTTGCGTAGCTAATATGCCAGAATGCATACAGATAACGCTGGAATCCAGATCAGTAGGACACGTCACAAGCGGCGTGTTTTTAGTCCTCCTTTGCACCTCTTTGCAGACTTGGAATTTGTCTGAAGGTGTGAAGGGGACTGCTAGGTCACCTACGGTGACCTGAATAACAAAAGCTGGAGGATTTCGAGTTGTGCTGCTGGGATAGGGTTTTTTTTCCTCCTCGTATCTTTTGGATTTCATTTGAAGACGTGGCAATGGTGAATCCGATGCTTCTCTCAGCAAATGGTTAATGATCTGTTGTCCTCATAGAACAATTCCCAGATGATGTTGCTACTGTTGCAAGAGGCAGAATGGATCTTGCTGTGTGGTTGATGTGAAAAGTAATTCACTGGTTTACAGAGGCTTACGTTCTGATCACTTTCTGTGTTTTGGCAAGATAGAAGATGCCTCTAGGTAGTTTAATTTTGTATTAAGAAAGTTTGAGGGTGCCTTTATTCTTAATATGTTCATTCAAAAAGTACTTTTTGTTAATACGCAGAATATATTTTGAGAAACTTACTGTGTTTGCAGAAGCAAAATATTTGAGAAGGAATCTCATTGCATTAGAGGATCTAAAGCTACGGCTAGCCAGTGCTAAGGCCAGCAATGCAATCATTAGTTTCCAAATTTTTTTCTCTGATGTATGCTTATAGTAAAAATTGAAAACCTGTAAGTAAAACTAACCAAGGCAGACAGCTCTTTTGCTTATTTTATAAATTTGGTGGTGCTTGAACTTGTTTTTACTTTTGCATAGCATCTTCAGAAAATCATTTCTTGTTAAAGGAAAAATCAAGCTATCCTTTTTAAAGCCGATTAGATCCAGTATTTTTTTTTTTTTTTTCAATTAAGGAGTCATGCTAACGTGTTTGTAATGGAGCCAAGATGCTGTTGCAAGTAAACTACAAAACTTAGGTTTCTTTCATAATTTTGCAACGTAATCTCCAAGTTCTATATTTAGTTCTCTAACTAAAACTAGTTTGCATCAGTTTGACCATAACTGATCATTTAAAATATCGATCATTCAATCTGTTTTCTTAGGCTTTTTGGTTGCCCGTCTGGTTGCTTGACTTTCTTGCAGTCTGCCTCATTCAAACATGCCAGGCACGCTTCCCAGAGTGTTAGGCCGTAGTTGCCTGTCCAGTCAGAAATATTATGGTAACCCATTGTTCCTATTTGTTTGGATTACATGAACACGGTATTAGGTGGATAACGTGTCAAGTATCTGATACGCCAGTCTTCCAAAACTGTAAGCATGGCAATGACAATTTAATCTAAAGTATGTAGTTTCTGACATGGACTGAAATCACAGGAAAAACAAGATATTGCAGCTGTCTTCTTTAAAACATGGTAAATGACTAAGCAGTCTTCAGTTTCATTTCTGTCTTGCAGCTTTAATCCAGTTGTTGTAAAACTGTTAGAAAGCCCCCCCCCCCCCCCCAGCCAGGAGATGTGAGAAGTTGTATTTAGAGCACTTTCGACTCAGAGAGGAGATATTTATAGTTCTTGGGTTTGCTGATGAAATTGCATAATTTAAGGAAGGGTCATGCTCCTCGCCTGATAAGCATCTGTAAATAGGTTGTGATGCCTGTGCGTGGCATGACCATGTTTTCAATCAATTCAATCAAAGAGCACATAATGGTTTATCAATAATTTGGGATGTATAGTGATATATTAGCCCCAAATGTGGGGGAACTGATTGTCTTGCTGTTGGCCATTGAATAGAAACTGTACATGACTGGACATCCGTGGAAAAGAAAATCCAGTCAGCTGTGAGCTGTATTGTTTTGCAAAACTTGGGGACTTGGTGTTTGTCTTATTCAAGGGGAAGGACATTTATGCTCCTCTAGCAGTAATTAATTCGCTTTGAGAACCTATACTAGAAATATCTTCCTTGAGGATGGTCTTCAGTCTTCTCCGTTTGGGTCTTCCGTTATGGGATGCTGATCTGCTGCCATATCTCGCTAGTTTCTCATCAGATTTGAGAAGGTGTTGTGTACTAGTTGCTAATTGGCCTACCTTAATAACCTAGTTCCAGAAGGTTATTTGGTCTTTGCTTCAGATTCCCCTTCTGGCTGCATCATGCTTCAATTCAGTCAGGCCCCCTCAGTGATTTTGCAAGGGTCTGTAATTCACAATATGAAGTTAAAAATCAGAATGTTTGGCCGACAAAAATTTGCACTTGCGTTGTCTGGATCCAGTTAAAGATTTCGGATATTAGTTTATGGCTAATATAACTGGAGCTTATAGCTTAAATTCCATCAGTTATGAACTGCTTGTGTGATAAATATGATAAGGTGCATTTGTTTAATTCAGTAGAGTTAATAACAATTTAATTAACCACTCCAGACTCTAAGAGTGACACTAATTTTGGCTATTATTTATTAGGAATGTTTTCAACATGACTGAAATTCATAGTTTATTTCAGAAGTGTCAGTGTGTGTTGGCACTCCTAATCTACTTAAATTACACGTTTTAAGTAGTCCATCAGCTGGAATCGTAAAAACTTTCCTGATTAGCAGATAGCTGCTGTGTTGAAGTGACTGTATACCGTTGGTGTGTTTGGGCCTCATTTCTTTGTAGGTTACAGGAGTCCCCATGAAGTTGGGGACTGACAGAGGAAGGCATAGTGTAAGTGATGTACAGAACTATGCTTAAGGTTTCCTCCTCTTTAATCTATTGAAGTTTTTTTGTAGGGCATTTTCTGCCATTCTGTCTTATTGCTGTTCATTATCTTGGTTTTGGCTTTCTGGAATCCTAGATTTGAAGGGAGGGAGAAGCAAGCTGGGCTAGCACTAAAAAGGCAGTCTGTCTATCCAGATTCCATTACTGCAATTATAAATGTTCATATATTCACAGAGAATGAGGGTGGTATGTCCTGTCATGATTCCAGCTCAAACAAGTGTTGTTTGTTTGAGGAATATAAGCAGCCCTATTCTTATCTTGTTTAGAAATTGAAAAAATTCAGAAGGGTGAAACAACAAAGAAGGACGAGGAAGAGAACTACCTGGATTTGTTTTCCCACAAGAATATGAAACTGAAAGAACGAGTTCTGATACCTGTCAAACAGTACCCCAAGGTGAGAGCCAGAAAAAAGCTTACTGAATCTCTGTGATTTGCTTATTTTCTAAGGATTTTTATGGTGGGCTGTTAGTGATAGTAGCTGTCAAAGTGTCATCGGGAGTTACGCCAGCATTCCACTATCGCTATGGAATTTTTCCTATGCAAGCTTGCAGGATCTTATTTCTAATATTTTACATTTCTAGAATGTCTTGGGATAAAGCTAAATGGTGAGGCATCGTTTTGATCTTTCATTAGAATAGACTTTCATATTTGTTAAAACCATGTTTAACTCTTAAGACTTGCTGCATGTAAAAAAGACTAGAGAATAAAAATTAGAATTAAATGCTTTACCTAAGTTAATTTCGCTTGATTTTTCTAGTGGAGGGTTTTTTTTTTTTTTTTTTTCCATGAAAGGAATGTTCTGGAACTTAAATTTTCCTGTGTGTTTTCTGGTCTGAATTTTTGTGAGGTGATGAGAAAATGGCCTGGCTAAACTTTCTGTCATCCAGTATAGCATTAAGAACAGCTTTTGCTAAGGCTGCGGAGCTTTGAAGCGAAAATGAAGGGTTTTTTGTTTTCTTCCCCTTTACAGTTCAACTTTGTTGGAAAGATTTTGGGACCTCAAGGCAACACTATCAAGAGACTTCAGGAAGAAACTGGTGCTAAGATATCTGTGCTTGGGAAGGGTTCAATGCGAGATAAAGCAAAGGTAAGGACATCACCCTTGAAAACATGCATATGCATTAATGCCTTTCACATTGCTGTGAAAAGTAAAGGTTCTTAAAGCAGTTTACAGAAGATGAAACAATTAAAATTTAAAAGTGAAGGCAGTAGGAAGTCACCACTCCTAAATTGTCCTGTGCGTGTTAGGAGCAATGTTGATTGGGGTAGAAGTGTGATAACTGTTCTCTTTGTGAGCATGGCTTACAGAGACCAGTCATCTTTGATATCTCTGCATCCAAAGGCAGAGGATATGTAGTATGAAAGGTGAACTACAAGTTTTTAAAGTAAAAATTAATTCAAACTGATTAAAAGTCATTTGTTAAAGTAATACATTTCCCCTCTAGAAACAAAACAATTTCCCTTTCCCAGCTGTCCCCTCTGAAGTCTTGAGATTTTCGTAGTTCGCTGAAGATGTCAGAGCAATATGTTCCTGGTAATCTTCAGTGAATCATGAAGTGCCAGGAGCTTTTTGAGCAGAAGAAACGGAAAGAGTTTTTTTTTCTTCCTTCTTGCTCCTAAAACTGAGCTCACAAACAGTCAGCAGAACTGTAACTTAATTTAGCTTTTACTTCAGCAGCACGAGAAGCTTTTGAATTTTTAATTTATTTCTAGCTTCTTAAGGTGAACTGAATGAATGCAGGTATCTAAGAGCAGACCTGAAGAGGAGGCTTGTCTGAGGCATTAGACCTTACTTTTCACTGTAAAGCAGTGCCCCAGGCAGGAAGGTGGTATAGAAGAGGAAGAACATTGCAGGTACACATATGCTTAATCTCCTGGAAAAGGTGCCTGATGTCAAGGCATTAACAAAAGTATCATGGTCACCCAAAAAAACAAATATGAGAAGCTGGAAGGTGTAGACTTGCAGGTTGCTTGTTATAAAACTATATACCTACGTGCTTAGCGTGTTAATCTGGTCTGTGGCCTGGCCTGGCAAAAAAGCTTTTACAGACACTTTCTTGTTAAAGTTTAGGAAACATTTAAAAGAAAACCAATTTCTCTGCCTCTTATATTTAGTTTTCGGACTCTCTAATCTGCTTTGTTTCAGGAGGAAGAACTACGTAAAGGTGGGGATCCTAAATATGCTCATCTAAATATGGATTTGCATGTCTTCATTGAAGTTTTTGGACCCCCTTGTGAAGCTTATGCTCTAATGGCTCATGCCATGGAAGAAGTCAAGAAGTTCCTTGTTCCAGTATGTATACTGATGCTCTTTCCTTGCTGAAGGAGGTAGATGGTTTGTGAATCTGGCTGTAAGGTTTGGTAAGATTTGCGCAATGTAAGGCTCATGTTTCAGGAATGATGTAGCTGAGGAAGCTTGGTGCTGCAGTAGTAAGTGTGGCATCCTAAAGTGACCCCAGTAATCTTGCATGAGGGCATATATTAACCCTATAATGATAATTAGGGGGAAAAAAAACACTTTAAAAGCAAAATATTATTGTATAGAACACTTAAGGAGCGTGTGTTTCTTTCCCATTAGTAGCTGTGGACATTGGGGCAGGTGGGTAGCTTGTCTAGCTCCCTGTCACAGTTTTAGTAGGGTAATATTTTTAGCTGTGCCTTGCATGGAAGGAGGCTTCTTGATGGCTTCCTCTCAATTGGAACTACTGCATAGAAAACGGGCTAGGTAACTTTATTGATCGGATCAGAAACTGTAACTATACACATGTCTTTGCATTTCTGCACTGGAGGGAGGTTAGAGGAAGTGGAGGATGGCTGCCCAGGCAACTCAATAGCAGTACTCAGTAGTGAATTTCTGGGACACATCTATGAAATCAGTGTTTCTGCTGCTTTGAATGTGTATAATGTGAAGCAACCTTTTTGGCATTTATACGGATGACATTTACTATCTATTTGGGGATGTCTTTTACTGTTCAAGCTTACAAGGCCTTTACCAGTGTATAACACAGTAGCTCTAGAATATGGTCTCTGAAGAACTGCGGAGTTTGAGGGAGCGTTTCGTGCGTTACTGAAATGATACGGTTTAGCTGACTAAATTAGGGGAAAAAAATGAGGAAGAAGTACAAAGCGCTCCCTGCTTCTGGCTAGCTCAGCCTGTAATTCTATAGGTCAAAGAGCTGGCTGGTACAGAACTGAATATATCCCAGCATCTTACCCCTTTGTTTTGAGCTCAGCTACAACTAGAGAGCTCAGATGTTCAGTCTGAAATATAAGGGGCGGGTGGAACCCAAGAGCAGTAGGTAGTGGGGAAGTGTGAAAAGCATATGGATACTGCATGATTTCTGCAAGTCTGCCACAGAGAGGAGGAGTGATTGGTATGTGAAGCACCTTTGAAGGAGAGAGGTCATCTTCAAGGAGCCCCTGGGATGTACAGAACCTCAGCTTGCTAAAGCAAGCATATAGCTTGCTATTTAAAGTATCTTACCTATTGCTGCCTTCAAACAATGTGTTAAACTTGTGAAAATTGACGGAGAAGTCACTATGGAAGCCAGCAGTGCTGTGAAGACACATCTGGTAGGAGACTTCTTGCTTTGTGGTGTTGCCATAGCAGCACGAAGATCCCCTCTGACGAGATTGGTAGTGCGTGGCCCAGCCTGCGTGTGTCTTTAGGGAAGGGGTGGGGTAGAATGACTTCTGCGGGGTTACCAGAGATTTGTACTAATTCCTCAAGCTAGATCCCCTGGGGAGATGATAATGCATGGAGCAGAAACATGCTGTGTTCTTAAGAATGTGAAAAGACAGCCTGGATTTGCAAATTGGTATTTACTCTTCATCAGGCCGCGTTCTGTCCTGCTCCTTCAGCGTGCTGGGAGCACAGCAGCATACGGTGATGTTCCACAGGATCATTGCCAGCCAGCTGCCCCTAAAGGGGAGCTGTAGGTGCTTGAGGTGAGGTGCGTCTCACCTGACACAGCCTCTGAACTCTCCAGCATTTGCAAATAAATCTTGCTGACGTCCCTAGGATACCAAATGTCAGATGGCTCCAGTACTCCTGTGAGTGAGGTTGCCTTTTCACAGTGCCCCACTGCAGTTCCCAGCTGGGAAGGGCAGTTTGCCCTTCTTGGGCATTTTGGGGGAAGCTGGCAGTTGTGCGTTGCTGCCAGCTAAGTAAATTTCAGTAAAACCAGTAGATTTCAACTTAGGACTATTTGGTAACTTTTATTCCAGCATGGTAGGTAGCCTTTGAGCTCTGGGAGCACAGACTGACTAGTTAGTTGTTGTTTGAAGTTGACTCTCTTTCATTTTCAGGATATGATGGACGATATCTGTCAGGAGCAATTCTTGGAGCTCTCCTACCTGAACGGTGTGCCAGAGCCAACTCGTGGTCGAGGAGTCCCTGTGCGGGGAAGGGGAGCAGCTCCACCACCACCTCCACCTGTTCCAAGGTATCTTTCCCAAAAGCACCGACCTGGAAATGCTGTGTCTTGCTCAGAGTGGCACTGTGAGAAGAGGTTAAGCTACTTGTTCTTGCACATCAGCTGTTAGCCTTGAACCTTGGCTTTTGGCTAAGGCTTTTTGGCCTTCTGAGTTGAAGGCTTGCTTTTAGCAAACGGGCATCAAGCGTTTTGTATGTTCTGTGATTCTGCGATGTAATTCAGCTTAATGAATGTCTATGTTTTTTGTTTCAGAAATGAGTAGCTTTATAAAGTAACCTTGCAAAATTTGGAAGAATGGATAGCTGGTGAAATACAAGCTTGGCCTATGAAATTGTGTAGGGTTTGTTTTGGTAGTCTTCAGCAAAATAAGCATTTCCAATTTAAACTGACCTTTCTTTGAAAGTCACAGGATGCTATTATTGTGTTGTTGCTGTTAAGGCATCGGGCTAAATTGGTGATAAAACTATGTTACTGTAGTTCTTGCTTCACTGCATAGTTCATGGCGGGAGAACTCTTTGCTTCTATCTGAATATTTAGCCCGGAAGTGTCCCTGTTCATTTCATCATTGATATTTATGAATCTGGAGTTCTGGCTGACCTTGCTAATTAGTGGTAGAGGGTTGTTTAAAATGAACTTTGAGAAATGATTTGGCCACAGTTCTGCAGTAACAGGGGCTGATGGCAGGCTCTGTTATTCAGATTAATTTCCTCGTCTATACCTCTAATACAGTAGAATCCAAGATGAGCTTTTTTTAAATCCTACAATATAGCAATATTAACAGTTCTTGTACTTTCATTCTTGATAAGGAAATCATGGCTTAGTCAATGATAATTGTATTTAGCAAACGATCATATTTTATAGTAGGTGTAAGAAGCGTAAATACTGCCCTCTATTCAAAACACGAGCAGTACAGGAGTAGCTCCTCACAATCCTTTCCTCCCTTTCCAGGGGGCGTGGTGTTGGTCCTCCTCCTCCTCCTCCTCCTCCTCCTCCTCGGGGGGCCCTTGTGCGAGGAGCCCCAGTGCGGGGTGCCATTGCTAGAGGAGCTGCTGTAGCCCGTGGAGTACCTCCTCCCCCAGCAGTAAGGGGTGCTCCTGCACCAAGAGCGCGTGCAGCTGGCATTCAGAGAATACCGCTTCCTCCTCCTCCTGCACCAGAAACCTATGAGGAATATGTAAGAAACTGTATACCTTTTTTTTTCTTTTCAGCTAGCTGATCATGTATTAGATATTCAACATTATTGAAATAAGGGCTAACAACAGTGAGATTGCAGTGGAGAAGTGACCGCCAACGAAAACACTGGTATTGTGCTGGGTGACCTCAGCTGCCTGTTTAGTTGTCAAAGAAGGAAACTACTACTGTCGTAAACACATGGTAAGGGGTTGTTATAATAAAACCGAAATGTGCCCACGATTGCACACTGGTATAAGTATTTGTGCATGGTAGAAAAATGCATCAATGAACTTCTGCAAGAGAATTCTTTGAGCAAGGAGCACAAAAGGCTCCTTGCTGCCCCTAAAATTCTTAAGTTAAACATGTGAATAAATATAATGATGTTTCAAGTCATACAACCAAGCACCACCCTCCCACTAAGCTTATCGTATGGTTGGCATAAATGCTCTTTGTATTTTAAAGGGATAACAAGATGACTGCTTTTGGTACACAACAGCGTTTGAGGGAATCATCACAAATATTGAGACTTCCCAAAATACTGTGTCTCAGTAAAACTTTTCAGTTTTTCCAGTGGGGCCAATCATAAATTAATAAGTTGTTTTGTTGTTAATCTGTAAATCTATGTGTTGGACGACACAGTTACAAGCCTCTCTAAACATGGATTTGTAGTGTAAGCAAACTGCAACCTTGGTTGTGTAACTGACTTTAAAACATGTTGTAAATATTAATGTGGTTCGTTCCTTCAAAGCCACAAGATAAAGCAGTTTTTAGCTGCCTATCTCTGTTTTGTGATGGAGCCCCTCCTCTGTGGCAGATAAGGATTCACAGGCTCCTCTGAAAACTGCTGTAGCCTAAATTCAGTTTTGCCATTACCCTTGGTCAGGAATTAACCTTTGATCCTTCCATTAACGCAGTTTGTAATCGTCTGTTTCAGGGCTATGATGACGCATATGCAGACCAGAGCTACGAGGGGTATGAAGGCTACTACAGCCAGGGCCAAGGGTGAGTTCATTTGTCTCCTATCTGTTACTGAGAAAATTATGCCTGACTCTCTTTTTTTTCCTTTTTTTTTTTTTTCCTTTTAAGTGGAAAAATTTATTTCAGAGTTTGAGCTACAGGAAAAGTGCCTATTCTGCTGGAATCTAGCAGTGCCTGGCAATTAGCTTCTGGGAGTGTCCCAGTGTTCTTGACAATTCTATGAAAGCAATGATCAGACTTAACACAAATGTTAAGCTTCACAAATGTTAAGTTCACAGCTTGCTGAACTGTGAACTGTTGTGCATCTTTGCTTTTCAAGTGTTTGTGCAAGTTGTGTCGGTTTAGGAATGTTATTTCAACACTGTATAACCAGCATAATTACTCTTCCAGGGACACAGAATACTATGATTATGGACACGGGGAGGCACAGGAAACCTATGAAGCTTATGGTATGTCTGGGAATACTGTTGTCTTGACAGGGAAGGGGCTGCACAAAGTTGAGTATTGCTTGTAGCTGATCAGCCGTTATTCACGGCCACTCCATGCTCCAAGGAAAAACTACTGATACCCAGAAGATCCTGTAGCAGTTTTCATGGCAGAATATTTACACCCTACAGACTACCCAGATCTAAGCAACCAAAAGCGTTCTGTGGTTTTTAGGTTCTTATCTAGCCTGATGGTCACAAACATGATCTTTTTTAAGTTCCAGTCTTCAACTATAGCAGTATCATTTAATTTTCTTGTAGCTTTAGAGTATTTTAAGAGCTTTGGATTTCCACCCACAACACTACTTTTGCTGCAGTCTGATTTTCATGGATTATATTTTGTTGAGCTGGATGGATGCACACTTCTCTGCTCTGTGCTTATGTTGTGCAAGGTTCAGTTTCAGATGCCTAATCAAGGATGCTTTTCCAGTCTAAGATGAATTTGAATAGACAGCTGCTGTCAGTAATTTTGGATATCTTTCGTGCCTCTGTTGAAATGGCTATTAAATGGTTTGGTTTGTTGCCTGTGTTAGTCCTGCCACACAAAGAGGCTTTTGTGTATCCTACTTGGTAGGAGAGCAGTGTTGTCTGGGATATGAAGGCCAAAATGCTCATTGTACATTTGGCATGAAGTCACCACAGCTAATCTGTTTATCCACAGTAATTTCCTTTGGTCTTTGCTTTCATGAAAACAAATTTAGAAAAATAGTTAAGGATGGAGACAGTTCTGAGAAAATTGGAATGTGTTTCATGGTGGTAGGGAATAGTGTATTGGGCTGTCTTCAGGGGTTTGGACGCTTACTTCCATAGACTGGTGACCATGGAGAGAATGTCAGACGTGCACATAGGAATATTGCAAGCTCAAGCCATAACGAAAGCTGAGCTTGGATACTCGGGGCTTGAGCTAGCTCAGGAACAATGGGATTTGAACTTAACTTGCTTCAGTAGTTGTTCTGCAGAAGGATTTTGACTGTCCTCTTGAGTGCTTTGTCCTATCAACGGCATGTTAATGCTAGTACAGTGGGCGGCTGGTTTCAAGAAAGAGGTAAGCAGATGCTATGGTATCTACTGCCGTAAATTTTCCTGGTAAGGGAAGGAACAAGAAGGAGCAGTGCAAAGCAGACTAATGTCTAAAAGTTCAGTCAGACTAACGTCTTAAAGTTCGGTATGAACCTCTGCCATCCTAGAGCAGTGTTAGCAGCTTAGTCATGTTGGCAATCTTTTCCAATGAGACTTCTTGCTTGGCATTTTAGAAGGAGAGAAATGCTACCTGTAAGCAATATCCCCCGCACCGTCAGAGTTCCGGAATTGTAAAATGCTGCTGGCTCCCATCAGAAAGGGCTGGGACTGTTGTGATCTTAGCAGCGGCTGTCTGCCAAAGCTGCTCCACGAATTGGCTTCAGCTCTGCTGAAATTAATTACTCCTGAAAGGCATCAGATTTGTCCAAGCCTCAGCTTAGTAGGGGTGTCAGAACTGTAGACTTCCAGGGGATTGCTGTCCAAGTTGCCTTTTTCTGTACTTGTAAAAAGATGTGCTCAAAAAGAGAGATTTTTGTGGAACTTCAGGGATTTTGTAGATACGTTTTAGTGTCAAACTGCTTTGAAGTATGACTTCCAAAAACCATACAAACCAGAGGAATGTTTAATGTTCTTCTGTAAGTTGATTCCAGGGTTGGAGCCGGGCCTTCTGACTGGCACCAAGCGGTGCCGCTGCTCCCTTATGTACATCTCGGCCCAGAATGTGCTGTGACCATTGATATATTATTGCTCTTTTCTGCAGGCCAAGATGACTGGAATGGAACAAGGCCCTCCCTGAAGGCCCCGCCAGCTAGGCCAGTGAAGGGGGCCTACAGAGAGCACCCATACGGACGTTATTAAACACAAACATGAGGGAAAAATATCAGTTATGAGCAAACAGTTGTTACTGATTCTTGTATCTCCCAGGATTCCTGTTGCTTTACCCACACCAGACAAGTAATTGTCTAACTGTTTTTCTTCGTGGCCCTTTTTCTCCCACTCCATCCTCACCCTGCATTCTGGCTTCTGTACGTAGTATTTTAAAATGAGTTAAATAGACTTAGAGGACCGACTTTAATTTTTTTTTAAGTGTGTAGATTGCTTTTCTTTCTTTGTTGTTTAGATAAACACAACTGTACCTTTTTTAATAAGAAAAAGTTGAGTTAAAATGTTAGTTTCCAAAGTGACATGCTTGCTTAACAGTTATGAAATTAAGGTTTTGTTAACCTTTTAAGTTTGGTTTTAAGCAACCCATAAAAGTTGTAGTTGCAGAATCCCAAAGTAGGCTACATTTCAAAATTCAGGGCTGTTTTTAAGAATTAAAATCATAATGTAACGGTAGTAGCTGCCACCGTTTAAAAGTAACCACAGGTATCAAACTTTCCTTAAAAGCAGATTGCTGATGAATCTTAAGTTTAAATTTTAATACAAAGGATCCTCAAACAAATTAAATAGCATTTTTTTTAAAGTTAATTGACTTAAAAGAAAAAAAAATTAGGTTTGTAAAATTGACTTTTCTTATGTGGGTTTTGAAATCTAGCCCCGAACATGCAGTGTTGAGAGATGCTTGGGAAGCAGTTTTTCCAGTGTAAGGGGTTCTTAGCTTGGTTCTATATGAAGAACTTTTAAGAGAAGAATAAATTAAAGCGTGGCTTCAATTGCCCAGTGTTTGATATTAGAAAACAGAGTATTAAGTGAGTAGGTCTGGACTCTGTAAAATTACAGTCTTCTCATTTTTATAGTGTTTGGGGCAGATAACACAGTGCAAGTTTAAAACTGACACAGTTGTCAATATTAGCAATCCCGTTGACTTGTTCAAGTGTATCTCAACACTAGCTTTACATAAAAAGGGACACTGCAGCTGAAAAAATGAGGAAAAATTTCACTTTGTACATAGGTTAAAGTCCTAATTGGATTTGTACACTGTCCTCCCACTCTGTTCTTGAAGATTAAATGCTACATGTGTAAGTCTGCCTAAATAGGTAGCTAAAACTTGTCAAAATGTCTGCCGCAGTTTGTCAATAAAGTTTAGTCCTTTTTTAATCAAAGTAAATGTGATGAATTGTCATTTTTTTGTTGAGCAATAAAATAGCTATTCTTTTTTTCAAATAATTTAAATTAATGCTAAAGCTAATTGTCTTTTTAAAATATGAAGACATTCTAAAAACGGTGGGGGTTTTTTTGTAAGAATTGCAAAAAGATTATCAAGCTCACTGAATGAGCGTAATTTTAAAAAAAAAAAAAATTGTTTTTCACCCCCTGGAAGTTGTTGAGTGCAGTTTGATCCTGGGCTAACGCAGAAATCTAACTTCTATCTGGTGTTTATGGTTCTTAACTGAATTAATGATTCAGATTTCAGGTGGCCTCACAGAGTATTCCAGACTGCAGACTCCAAATTGAGTCTGAAATGGCTGGTTTAAAAGTAGAATGACAAAATGAATGCTGAAAAAGGCTTAGCTGCCACCAGGAGGAAGAGGGAGCTTGCATTCTGTTTTATGTAGTCGCCCCTAGCCCCCTTGGCTAAGATGATGCCCTTCCTACTTAAGGTAGCCTTTACTTGGAAAGCCAGTTACAAATGTGTCCCTACTTGAGTGCTGCAGTTGCTCCTCTTATCCTTCTGAGAGGGTGTGTATGTACATAGATATATATACACATTTATGTATATATAATAGTTCAAAGGAAACTGCTTCTTAGAGAAACATGAAAAATGGTTTGTATTTCCCATCTGCAAAATAAATCTGGCATTCTAGGGGGAGAGAATAAAACTGCTCGGGGGTGAAAAATAGAACATTAGGAACCAAACTGCTTGTGGCAGTGCATGATTGAGGGGAATACTTTAAAACAAAAAGTTGTATTTGTAGATTGTTATTAAAGTGTAAATAACTGAATTTTCAACGATGGTTTGGAGTCAGCTTTCAGGGCATAATGTCTTGCTTGATGAAAAGATCACCCTATACCCCCCTTTTAAAGGAAAATTATCGCAGGAGAATCAGGATGTGTAAAGCTAACATGCATCGCAAAAAACAAAAGGTAACATAAATGTCTGATTTTAATAGCACATTTCTCTTTTACATAAACTGTGACGGCAACTTGCATAAACTTTATTGAAACAATTCTTCAAATGTTAATTTTAATGTAAAAATTTGCAAAAAATGTTTAAAATAAACATTTAAAAAACACATGCTTCTGCATAAATTAGCAATAACTTTAATAATGTGCCCTTTGAAAATGCACTGTAATGTAATGTGGGCAAAAAGGAATCGGCAAGCTTAAATATCAAAAGATGTAAAATGACAACGAATATAGATAGTCCTGCTACTGCCAAAAAAAATTCTGCTCAGTTATTTTAAAATGTAAAATGATGGCCCTTTTTAGACCCCAATATTGATATTTACTGTGACCTGTTCAAAGCTCAGCTTAGTTGCATGTTTTCCTTCCTGTGTAATTGCATGCAGGAATCTTTTCTTTTTTGATTTGTGCCTACGCTAAGGAAACTCACAAATGTCTTCAATTTGCAGGAGTCAAGAGTACATCACTATGAATCACTTGGGTGAAGATGAGCAGGGGCAACACGAAGTGGGTAAGCCTGTCTGTTTATTTTTGCATCTCACTGCAAGCTGCTAACATGTTCTGTGTGGGAAGTGGGGGTGGTGCCATCTGAGCTGCTAAGTAGAAGCCATTTATATACCCACAAATAAATTACTCTCGCAAAAGGCCAGTTACATTACTGACAGTCTTGCAGAGGTCACGGTGAGGAGGAGGCTTGAGTATGCACCTGCTTAGAGCTCTTCCATTGAGGTCCCATGGAGAAGGAGGTTTAAGTGGATTCAAGGAGAGAGGGAAGTGTAGTTAAGGAGATCTTTTGGAATTGGTTCCTGGCTGAGATGCTGGCTTTCGTGAGTGCCCTCTGCAGTAAGGTAGCATTGAAGTTGTCCCATGCTCTAGGAACAGAGCAGCCCAAGGAACAGATCAGTAGGAACTCCTTAGCTAGTCTATAAAGCATTAAAATCCCACACTGCAGATTTAAGACCAAATGCTGTCCAACTAGACCTTGCTAGTATACTGCTTCCACACCACCATTGCAGCTTGAACATTGGTGGGTTCTGAAATGCAATCTAGCTGTTGGCTATTTGTTTATGGCTTTTTGTTTGATACCGTTGTCAGAGACTGCTCAGTCAGTGATCCTTCAGGTCTGGCTGGGACATGTTTAGCTCGCAGCCCTGTGAGGCTGGACACCTGGTGTCAGCAAGCGAACACCCTGAACCCTCAGGAGGGGTGATGATAATGAGCGTAATTTTATGCCCGTGGCGGCCAGCACCTGTGGTGGCAGGGCTCCCTCTGGCGGTTGTTGTGACCACTGTGGCTTGCTTGTTCTCCAGTAAATATCTTAATAAATGCCTGCATATGCTTGCAAACCAAGTGGTACCTTGGTTTGGGAGATCATCTGCATGCCTTGCACGGAGTGACAGTTGAAGGCATCAATGGAATGACCTGCTTACACAGCAAGGACACGTCTCCCCTCCGGGCCCAAAGGCAGCAGCCGTAAGCGTTTCCTTTGGGGACGGTTAATCAGGTTCTCTCAAATCTTGAAACCACCGAAAGCCTGAGCTCCATAAATAAAAAGAATAAAATAAGCCCTTACATTGCTGAAGAAGTATAATGGCTTCAAAATACGAGCATGAAAAGCCTTGGGCATAGGACCTAGAAGGTCTTATTTTATATGGAATTGTAAAGCTACTAAACTAAACAAGCGCCTCTTGTCTTAAGAGTATTAGGCACAAGAAAATGGTAATATGTGGAAATGTTGCAACAGAGTGAGATTACCCTCAATTCTTTGACTTTAACTTGAAAATTGGATCAGTAGTTTTATGTTAGGGAAAATTATAGCGTGTCTGGATTTCTGTGATTTGTTTATCCAATGCATCTTCATTTGCGGTGTAATTAGAACATCAGTTTATGGTGTGGTACCAATCTCTCCCATTTCTTTCTTAATAGGCACAACTTTTATATCAAGTGGAAAAGATTTGATAGAGATCATCTATTATGATGCAGTTTTTTTACCAGTAGAAGTGGATCTTGTGACACTACCTTTGGAGTAATACAGCCTTCTTGTGCATTGCATTTGTTTCTTGTTATGTGAAAGATTTTAATGTTACGGAGGAATGTAAATCTTAATATATTGAAAATAACTGTGTATGCTAAAAATATTTTGAAAACGTGTCCTGCATCAAACATTTTCCTCCCTCTCATAGCATTACTACACTCAGATTTCAAGCTACGGTATGCTAAAGCAAATTTGAGATCCTGAAATAGCCATCAACATCGGATGGGTCTCTCAAAGATGCTCTAATTCGCCAGACGTTCCGGGGGTGATACAGGACTCACTAAAATTTGTGAGGGATAGGGATTCCTTCAAGGACAGAAGTCTGAGTCACCTAAATAGCTTCCCCTTTCATACTGACACCTAGCCACTGGATGTCATGTTCTGCTGGCTGTTAGCAAACAAACGCCACAGTGATTTTTAATCTCCAGATTCCCCAGGGAACAAATCCTCAACTTATCATTATTTTTAGGATTTTGGTAAAGGTTGCAAACAAGATAGAGGCCCTGTTATTCTTGGTATTGTACAGCCTGATAATGGCAGTCATGTTTCCTCCTTGTCTGCGGAAGTGTTTCCCAGCGATACTCTTTTTAAGAGAAACTTGTCTCTAGAAACGTTCTACGTTTCTCTCCTGCTGCAGTGCTTTCCCTGCCTCAGCAGTCATCTTCTCTAACCCTTGTTTCTGGATGGTCGCTGCTTCTTCAGAACTTAGTCCAGCCCTTTGGTATAAACGCTCAGGCTGGCCTAGCCTGGAGCTGGTACAAACTTGGACCTCACGCTTTCTTTGTGAGGTCTCACCACATGTAGTGGTTCCCGGCCAGCATCTTGGACAGCAACAGAAGCATGAAACTGAGCTTGCAGGGAAAACGCTCCAGCTGGTCTTGCAAAGAGGTCCCCTGTAGCTTTTCCTGGAAGGAGATTGTCGTACTGTGCCCATTCCTTACCCTTGGTTTCAAGTTGCTGTTCAGATTATCGAATAAAGCAAATAGTTAAAAGCTTTATTTTATAACTTACCTATGATCTTTTTATTTCTAACTTAATTCCTTAGCCCTACTGAAAGCAGTGTTTTTACCTTGATCTGGCCCTCTGTAAACTTCCTTATTTGGTAAGTTGGGTCCAGCTTAAGAGCACAGCTGGATTCCCTATTTGGCTGTAAAAGCGGATGATTCTTTTTGTACAGACTGAGTTTTTAAATTTGTATGAGAGCATCTGTCATGAGCAGAGCCAAGAAAAGCAATTTAAACGTGCATGTCTTCCTTTCCTCACCCCATGCTGCTGCTCTCCTAAAGAACCCTCAGACAGAGGGCAGTTCCTGCAGCCTGTGGTAGAGCCCCCAAACGGCCTCAGAGGAGAAGGGACCAGCTGTGACCTGTCTGCTGGGAGATGCAGGGAAGAACAGGAGGTGCTGCTAACGCAACTGTTCTCTAGGCTGGGAGGAACAAGTACCTAGGAGTGCTTTTTAGGAGTAAGACATGGCTTAGGGAAATTCTTTAACTGATAAACGTATAACATCTTGGGTGAGATGCTGGACACATGGCCTGCTTGTAAGCTTTGAGGGGGAGGAATTTCTGCAGGCCAGTCATCCCCCATGGGAACTTCCATCCCAAACGTAGATGTTGTTCCTCTTTTCTGCTCAGGAAGCTCGGTTCCTGTGAGCAGAAACATTTACTGTTGCTGCTCAGCTGAGCCTTCCCTTACTACCATATGTTTCAACTGAAATGTTTGTTTCCATTCTCTTTTTGCTCCTCTTTGCAAAGTGGGATGAGTCTCAAATTAGTTGATCTCAGATATGAGAAAGTAACACAGTTAAGATGCCTTTCACTTTATTGTGGATGGGAAATAGGAAATTGCCAGCTTTCCCATGTTCTCCAGTACACTCATGAGTCTCCCTCATCTGCTTCAAAAGCTGGAGAGCAAAGAGTGTGCTTGAGTACTGAAATAGAAAGTATGTTTCCCGGTAAAGCTGTTACTTTTACTGCTGGCTGTAGAGCCAAATACAATCAAAGGCTTGTGTGTGTTACAAGACAAACCTCATTTTTTAATGGGACATCAGTAGGTTCCACTTGTTATCTTTATAGTTGCAGTTGGAAAATTGAGTTAAAACTACAGGCATCTGGATACTGTTGGTTTTGATGGTTCTACACAAGGAAGGTTTCAAAACCAATAAGAAATGAAAGATTGGTCTTGTGAAAGTTCATTAATTTTAGAAATGGCTTTGCCTCTAGCCTAGGCAGGGGTGGTTCTCGAGATTACATAATCTTCCATCTGTACTAAAGTGTCAAACACCCACAAGTTGAGGAATTCAATGGAAAATACTGCAAGTCCTTGGTAAAGATGGTGAAAATTGATCAAGGTGAATCACAGTATTAAAATAACTTGTATAGGAAACTGGCAAGCTATTGCATGGCTGGTATTTAGCAATAAGTGTTCAACAGATGTTTTAAATGGTTAGTCATTCCTTATAATAATAAAGGCCTAACATTGAATTTCTTTGTTGAGATTTTCTGTTTCTCTTCCTGCTGCAGAGTCGCTGTTTATCTGAAGCTGTAATTCTTGGGATCTCTGTCCAAAGGGTGATGGAAGGGAGGGTGTGAAAAGAGGAGAATGTTCACTGTTAAACCAGAACTGACTTGCAGTGTCTTTGAAAACGTTCAAAGGATGCATCAAAATGCTGGTAGTATATAAATGTCTGATACAAGCTTCTCAACTCAATGTCAAACAGAATATAAAAGAAAAAAGGAGGTCTGGAAAAAAAAAATCTAAGTGGTTAAGGATCATGTGAGGTGGATTAGGTAAGAGAGCTCTCAAAATTATGGTGGGTCTCGAACTTTGTCATTTTTGCAGAGATTCAAAGTAAAGGCCGTGCCAGGTAGTCTGTCCTGCTTTTAAGCTTACAAATTTTGCATAAATGCCTAAAATATTTAAGTTTTCTTGGAGTTTCATGCATCCTGGAGAGAGAGAGAGAGAGAGAGAGAGAGAGAGAGAGAGAGACAACCTCTGCTTTGTAAAAGGCGGTAGAGACAGTGAAGCATTCAGATCACATCTGCGGGATCTCTTGGTGGAGGGCATGTAGGTGTAGGCTGGTGGAGCGTGGTGCCCAGGGCTTGCTCAGGTTTAGGGGGGAAGCCCTCATCTCCATGGCTGCACAGGTTGGAGCCACGGACCCTCCAAGACCCTTCCTTGAGTAGCAGCTTGACAGAGCTCTAGCAGAGACTTCTGCATTGACGGTCGGGTTTTGGCTGGTCAGGTGGAAGCAGATTAAAGTTGTCAAGCTCTCTCTGCTTGGTCAGAGGGCGGCAGCATATGGCTTATTTCCCAAAGCAGCAAGGGCAAACCTCAAAGGGCTGAACTCGCCCAGGCTCCTTTCCCGTGCTTCGGGTGCTGATATGCCATCGACAACCGCGTGGGACGAGATGGTTGGCTCAGCTTTAAAATGAGGTGTCCGCAGGGATGCGGAACAACTCCCCCCCCACAGGGCAAGAGGGCAGGCTGGGCCTCTTTGTGCATTTGTCCAAGGGGCAGGATTTTTCCTGCACCCGGCACGGGGCTTGCCGGCGACCAGCTGTTGGCATCGTAAATCAGGAGGTGCAGGGAATCGACCGTAACAAAGAGGCGCCTGCA